TTGAGGTCCCCTACCTATACAGACTCTATGGAGCTGGGCTGAAGTAACATACTGCTTCTTCTGGTAAAACACAGTTTTTGTTTTTGTGGGGGGGGTTTAAATGTCTGCAAGCAGCCTGTGTTGCTGGATTCACTGCAATGGAGTTGTTCCTGGGTTACAACAGGAAATGAGAATCAGCTCCCCTTCTCCCATGACTACTAAAGCTCACTGAAGAACACTAAGAAAGAGAGCCTACAAGATGAACACTTTAAGACAAACTCTATAAAACCCTCTCATTTTTCCAATTTATATAATCAGGATGTCTTATCCAAGTCATTCCAAAATTTAAGTTTTCTTTGCTAGGGATTGGGTGAAAGAAAATTCCCAGCTAAAAATAACCATTTATTTATGAAGACACAGAAATAATAAAAATGAATTTAAATGTCAACTTTAATATGCATATTTAAAATGTACTTGTTAGGTTTTTCAGAGTTTTCAATATATCCTTAATGTAATTAGAACAAATAAGGGAGACATAAGCAATGATTTATAGGCAGACTGGTACCAGGCCAAGATAGTTTGGCAAACAGCAGTTTATTTCATAATCAAACAACTAGAGCTCTATTAACAAGTGAAAGTTTCAGGTACGTTAGATCAGCTATTTCCTTTGCATTTAGTAAACTGAAGGAGGCAAATAATAACAGCATTTGACATTTATGTAGGTGCTGTTCATTCAGTGCTCAAATGCTTTAAAAAGGCATCATTACCTTCTTGCATCAACAGAAAAGCTAAGGAACAGAAAAAATCATTGATTTGCTTGGGGTTATATAGAACAATGGCAGAGCTAGGAAGGGCAGGGCAGGCTTACTGACTTCTTTCTAGGTCCCCTAACCAAAGGCCTATTCTATAAGAAAAAATGAAGTGGTCTCTCCTAAAAGGGACAGGAACAGGATGTCTAGATGTTTTATAAATTTTGTGAGCTTTGTTAAATAATCCAACTAAATGCAAATAGTGCTGCAAGATCAAACATTGGTTGGTGCACGACTGATAATTGATATCTGTTTATCTATACCAGCGACTCTCAACCTTTTGTACCTTACGTCCCATCTACATATGGTCAAAAAATCCTGGTCCACTGGTTGCCAAGTGGGAGGGGACGGGGTCCCACAGAGGCCAATCAAAACACGCAAAAGCGAAACCTGAAGTCCTGCCGTGGCACTTCCAGCTTCGCTGCTGTGACCTGAGTCCCCCCTAGAGGACCTTCGTGTCCTACCAGTGGGATGTGTCCCACCGGCTGAGAAACCCTGATCTACACAAAACAGGAACTGGGTGGGCAGTAGTAGATCAAGATTCCCTTGGACAGGTGGGACCACAGATCCCAACCCAGGAAGAGGAAACTCCAAGGATGAAAAGGTATTCAGTCTGTAAGGCCAGACATTGACACCTTCCCCCTGCCACCAAGTATCTATTCTAGCTTAAGGGGGAAAAAGCACTTTAAGCCAGAACAAAACCCAAGATAATTCTGCTCTACTATTCTAGAACAAAAAGATCTTAGGAAATGCAGAGAACTAACCCTTCATCTAAAGCGTATAGCTTGGTAATGTTTTTAAATACGTAACTCAAGATACACTTTCATGGGGGTAAACCACAATGTAATTTGGCTAAAAGTTTTCATGAGAGAAGGATAGATAATAAAAAAAAACACTTTAGAATAGCGTAAAATCATAGTGTAATATCACTTAATGTGGACAGTGCCAAGACACCTCACCTGGAGAAGTAGTGAATTAAATGTTACTTAACAGCTACCTTGTTTCTTGGCACCAGGATCCAAAGAAGAACATACAATTACACGCTGCAGGGCATATTCTTTCAGCAGTTTAAGTGCACCTGCATAACTTGCATTAATGTTAATGGGAATTGGCAAGGTCTGACTAACCATTCTCTAACTAAATGCAGATACAATTAGGTCAAATTTTCTATTAACATGTAAACTGAGTTTGAAATTAACAATTTTGCTGGTGATAAAATGGAAGGGAAAGAGCTATGAACATGTTAGAACACAGTAGGGAAGAGAGCTTGATTATTTTAGCTGGTATCTATTTTCTGATTTTAAGGAAAACTCTTATATGCTTATATTTATTTTAAATATAGGAAAGATGAAGATTAGACATTACTAAAACAGAATGCTGAAGTCACTTCAGCAAAGCAGCATCATACCAAAAGCTCTAGCATTACTTCAGAACTACTAGATTTCCCCGGCAAAGATTTGTACATGGCCCTTGATATTTTTAACATGGCTTCAAATTTCTATTGAGGTCAATATGTAGCAATGTTTCTTTCCCTCCCACAACTCTGTGCCTCCCCACGTGACATTATGCTAAGAGATCTGGATTTAAGAGGATTGTTAATTTTGTTTTGCTCATATGCAAAGGAGGAAAAATTGTTTTCTATACCAGCAAACTAATGCTAAGTCAATGATATAACAGCTTGGACATCAAGGTGAGATCACCACTGTACAATATGAGATCCAATAGGGGTTGATAGAATTTTGCTGGTTTCTATAGAATGTTTCATGTATTTGCTCAATTCTAAGACAATTCTAAGACAGGGTAACATGGGAGGGAAGCCCCCCATCTTAAAATAGAGTATGGCGAGGGGGCTGCCATGGCTCAGGTTCTGAACCGTACCGAGTCGGGACTATGGCTGCTGATGCTGGCTCTACATATCTGCACCCCACCATCTCCCCACAGTGTATCCTTCCCACATCATCTGCTTCCCCACTGCCTTCACCCCTGAAGCAGTGGGAAGGATAAATTAAAGATGATCCTCCAATAATTACATTCTATACATGGAAAACTTAACAAATTTATAAAAATATCCATGTATTGAATCTAATTATTGGGGGGAGTCATCTTTAATTCAGGGTAGTCTTAGATTCAAGTAAATACTGTAGGTACCTTCAAAAGAGGAATCATTCTGAACTTCAGGGCCTGCACAGATTTACCACAACTGTTTCTTCCAGAAGTTACACATTCAGAACCAGAGGAGTATGCTGAAAACCTCCCATTGAAATGCAAGGTTACCCCAAAAAATATAAAACAAAATGAAGAAGGTAGCAGTGGCCTTGCTGTGTTCTCGTAACAAAAATAAATTATTTTATGCCTTTATTTTACGCAAAGTCAGGCAGAAGGCAGGTAGCACAGCACCTCAGAGGAACCACCATATTCTATCTTCTACCCAACTTGAAACTAACAAAGTTAACCACCTCTCTCAAAATAAAGTGGCAATTTTGGAGTTATGTTCTTGACTACATTCATTTTCTCTTGGATAACGTTTCTTGTCAAATGTTTTCTGGACTACTGGGCTGCTAATGTACTGAATTCTACAGACACCACAGAACCGATGCTTTGTGATCTTGATGAGTTCTGAAATATACTCTGCATTGACCTTCTACAGCAGGGGTTTTCAACCTTTTTGGGTCAGTGTAACCCCAGTGGCTGGTAAAGAGGGAAGGGGTCCCTTGGCAGCCAGTTGACAAGCTGGGGGGAGTGGGGGCAGCAGCCAGCCAGCCCTGGGCGGTGGAAGTGTTGGCGGCGGCACCCACTGCCGAGTACCCCCCTGAGGCCATCCTAAGTACCCCAAGGGGTATGTGTACCCCCAGTTGAAAACCCGTTTTACAGCATTTCTTACAGCTAGCATCAAAATAGCTACTATCATGTGTGCTGTGACTAAATGCTTTCTTACAATAGTTAAAGCTGACCCTCTTGGGCATGAACCAAAGTCTTTAGGAGGAAAGATTAACATAAATAGGAAAGTAGGGCTGAAAAGGACCTCTGGAGATCATCCAATACTATCCCTGAACTGAGGGGGGAGGGGGAGAGAGGGTATGAAACCTCTCTACAACACCTCCAGTGGATATTTATTTAACTCAGGGGTGTTCAATTCATCCAGCCCCATGGGCTGGATCCAGAGCTGTGGGGCCATGTCATTTGGCTCACAGCGCTGTTGACAGAGATGAAAATTTGGTAGCATGGCAAGTGGGGGCAGCATTAATTGCTATGCCTCTCAGAGCTGCAGCAGTGATGTTTGTCCCACCATGAAATTTCTGACCTGCCAGTGGTTTCAAGGGCCAGATGATACCGCTCTGTGGGCAGGATCCAGCCCACAGACAGCATCTTTCACACTGCTGAGCTAACCTGTTCTTAAATTCTCTCTACCTCCCCAGTGAAAGAGATTCTCCAAGCTGCCTTGTTAAATATTGGAACATACTAGTCTAGATAGTAGTCTAGAGCTAGAAATGTTATTCAACAGCCAACCTTTGCTGTACCTTAAAATGACTTATTGTCCTATCCTCAATGGACACAAAACAATTGATCACCAGTTTATAACTAACTTTCAAATATTGGAATCCTGAGATCGTGTCCTATCTTCCCAGTCTGCTCCCATACACCTACAGTCTTCTCTTTTCTTGGAAAAGAAAAGGAAACGAAACAAAACAAAGCAAAGCAAAACAATTCTTTGAGCCTTCCCTCACAGCTCAGGTTTTAAAAAAAAAAAAAACCCTCTTATTTTTGCTTTTATCCAGAAAAAGTTTGGCTTTTTTTAAAAAAAGCATAGTATTCCAAAATTGCACACAGTATTTCCAGATGAGGCTTTGGCAGCTTTGAGTATGGAAGTATGATTGTCTCCCATGTCTGACATATGCCATTCCTGTTACCTCAGAATAAGAGTTTCCTTTTTTGCAACAGCATTACCTTGCAACTCAGCCTATGATTCACTTTCTGCAGTAGTACAGCTTAACCCAAGGACTGGCAACTTTTTAAAGCCATGGGTTGAAACAATCTGGCTTCAGTCTGGCATAAGCCAAATGGCTTCGGCAGCATGTCAACACTTTAGGGGGTTTGCCTGCACGTATGCCAAGATCAGGCAGCTGTGCCAGTGCCACTTCTCTCAGGCACCACTTCCCAACTGGGGCATGAGTGCAGCTTGCAGGCACAGGAGAGCTGCACTAGGGCTGGTCGACTGGGAACTGCACCCACACTGCTGCTGCTTCTCCCCAGGTCCCTGCTCCATGTCCATAACAAGATACAGCTTCCAGCCAGTAAAGAGCTATGCCAAAGCTGGGAAGCAGAAAGCTACTTCTGCACTGCTGCCACTTCCCTCACCTCCTCGTCCAGCTGCAGCACGGATCCAGCTGGAAACTGCCCAGTCTCAGCTTAGTTCCCCACAGCTGGAAGCTGTGCCCATGCTGCAGCTGGGGAGCAAAAGTGGGGAAAAGCAATGGTGATATGGATGCAGCTGCCAGCTGTCCCACCCCAGCACACTTATCACTGCCCAGCCCAAAAGAGCTAACCACTGACAATTAGTTAAAAAACTACTCAGAGCAGTGAACACCCATAATTCTGACAAACTCATCTAGACCACCTTTCCCTAGTTTGCTTATGAGAATGTGACATGGGATAGCGTCAAAAAAGTCTTACTGAAAAATCAAGATATAATTGCATCTAATATTTCCCTCTTATCTACTAAGCCCATTATTCCAAAGAAGTAAATTAGATTTGTTAAGAACAAATCCTGTCAAGTCAATCCATGTGACTGGTTGGGTTTTTCTAGTCACTGTATCAGGCTGAGAACCATTGTCCTAGAGGATTTCTCCTGCTGGGACCCATTTGCAAAGATCCATGGCCTGTCCCTCACTCCTGACCCACAGCTCCCTGCCCCACTCCGCCCCCCAGCCAGAGGGGCCCCCAGCTGCCCCTATCCTGCTTGGGCTGGAGTATGATGGCTGTTGCAGCTCCGACCCATGCAGGCTGCAGTGGGGCAAGTCCAGCCCCAGCAAGAGCTAAAGTGAAGAGGAAAGGCCTGTGGCACCCCTCCATTGCCCTGGGCTGGGGTTGCTGCGCCATGCCAGGCAACCTGGTCATGGTTTCCCAAGCAGCGTCTCCCAGCCACCCCGCCCCTGTGAGCATGGCCACCAGTCCTGGTGCCACCAGCCCAGCCAAAACTGAACACAGTACTCCAGATGTGGCCTCACCAGTGCTGAATACAGGGGAATAATCACTTTCCTTGACCTATTAGGAACTTGTTTCTGAACTTCAGAGCAACCATCTACAGTCACAATATACAATGCTATACCTCCTACCTTTGTTCCATACCCTCTTCATTCTGAATGAAGGATTTCAATAGGAACATTCCAGTCCTGCCATTAGTTCCTCCCACTCTGAAACCAGAACTATGCTGTTATGGATACTAGAGTAACATGTCAAATTCACATGCATTTTCCATTTAATATTTCTAAATTAATGCATTTTTACATTCATATGCTTTCCTTAACAACATCTCTTCCACCCATATCACAGAACCTTGACAAGAAGGCTGGTATGGAAAGTATGTCCTGAAAATGAAACCCAGATCTATTACAGCACTCAAAGCCCTTGTTGAACGTCCTTTTTTAAAACCAGAGCAAAGGACTGGACACAGAAAGTAGAGGGTCAAATGGGGAAACTTCAGGCCTTAAATGTATGAGAGATGTAAAACTAACACCATACTACTGATTCAATCCATAGGCCCAAAGTTCCTTTATAGTCGTGTTTTGCACCACAGCTTTCATTTATAAATGGCAATATACTAGATGTGTATGTACACACAGGCACACACTAGACTATGTGCCATTGGCTGTAAGTGAAACATTAGCACGAGTCAAACAAGCTGGGTATTATTCAGTCTTTTATACAAAGACTTGCTCTGTGACCTTGGTGAAATTTGATTAAATACTCCAATTTTAAAAAGTGGGAAAATTGAAACACAGATTACCATTGTACAGAGCTGCTGAGATCCTTGGCTAGTGTGAAAATGTATACAGTCTGCAACATATTATAAAGGAATAAAATGGCTGTCAAGCTTACTGTCTTCCTATGAAGATGTTGCTGACTAATTTTTTACTTCTAATTCCATTTTACACATCATTCCCTTTATACCATGCAGGTACATTCAGATCCCAAAGTCTTAATATGTTGTATACAACTCATGCTTGGATATTCACCCCATAATTTTCAAATCTTTTCTAATACTATTTGCAGGTCAATTTTGCTTTAAAGGCTTTAAACTACCCAATGCCTTGGAATGCAGTCTCAGGCTTAAAACATTTTCTTTTCATGTACTGTACTGGTAATGTATGCCATCTGGCATGTCAGATTGCCTGAAGTTACCTTTGGTACCTAGATATGATGGACATTATTTCTCAGCCATTCTCAAAATTTGCTGGGGTTTGCTAGCCAGGCTCTTGACATTATTTTATATTGCTTTTTTGTTAAAATACATGCATAGTACTTAAAACACTGACTGACAAAACAGATGAGAGTCCCAAATGGCTAGGATTGCTTCTAACTGAAGATGGGCAGAATTCACCCCTGTAACTCCAGGGACCTCACCCCACCCTCAGGACAATACTTTTAGTGAAATACTTGTAGAAGGCAGAGAACAGAAATTTTAGAAAGAAAAAGAACAGTCAGCACCACAGAACATTAATACACAGGATCAGGGACATTGTCCTTATTCCAAAGGAATATTCAGTACTGTATGCCTGATCTTTGAAGTCCTAATAAGGTGACTTATTCAAATTTGTTCCCTGTACTTTGAAACAAAAAAAAGAATAGTCTTGTTATCAATGAGTATTATTGTGTAGTCTCCAGCATGCACAGCACATCACTGCCAATGCCAGTGGATGAACAACACTAGCAACCTAGTGTTGTCTGTTATATATCATGCCATTCTCTGTACTAAACAAACACGTTTATTTTCATGGGTATTTTCATTAAAACTTTTTGTCGATTATTCATTAAATGGACACTTTCTATAACTAATATCAGATTGTTTGACATTATCAACAATGATCACAAAGCTAAAAATAATTTGCATTGATTATTGAAGGTTGGACAGATGATCATCGTAACTGGTAGGGGCTATATACAAAAAACAGGGTTTTAAAAAAATATGATAGTAGAGTAAGATAACACTTGCTAAGAATTGAGAACATTTACCTGTTACACATACTGGAAAAAAAAACCAACTTAGAATACTAATTTGCTTCAAAACTTACCAAGCTTTGAAGTAAATATTCCAATATTCCTGGGCTGAGTAAGCCTATGCTTGCAGGACCTGTAAGAACACTACACATGTTACAAGCAGTACAGAAACTTCTGCTACAGTATGCTTAATCCATTTAATTACCATGAATTTACCCACAAAGTTATTTTTATGTATAATTCTGCATCTACCTCCTCATTATATCTATAAATATTCAGTTAATATGTACCCTGAGAGAAGTGTACGTGCCATTTTAACAATCTTCAGCCTGATGCCTGAGTACCACTTAAGACTATGCATTTTTTAAACAATCAGGCAAGTCAAGTTTTGCAAGTCAGGGCTAAAAGAATTAGCTCCCTTAATTGCTGGCATGAAAAAAAAATCCCAAACAATGCCCACAGTATCAAGTACTGCCAACTTGATATTTAATCACTTACATTGCAACTGACATTGCAGCAACTGGCCAATTAAAAAAGACCAAAACACTGTCCGCCTTTCAAAAGTGTAGGAGGAGAAAGGGAGTTGAAAATAAAACCCAGGAACTGACATACTGGAACATACATAAAAAACACAACCATAAGATAGCATCAACCTCATCATTGCCAGAGTTTCTAGAGAAACACCTACTCATACAGAATTATAAGGAAACAACACAGAACCCTAATTTGACCTGTTATAGCTGGAATGTGGGAAGGAGGAAGTGGTGCTTGTACTTCAGATATGCACCTTAACAGCCAGAGATTTTGCAGGAGCTATATGTAATGCCTTCTGTTTTGTTCTTTACTGCTGCCTTGGAAGCAATATTTAAATACTATTTTTATACTTGTGTTGCGAAAGTGATGCATACTTTAGGCATTTATAAAAATATATTAATTTTAAGCATCTTCAGAAACACAGTGCAAAAGTCTAATTGGCAAATAAGACACTAATCAGTAGAAACAATATTTTCACTGTCTTGCAAAGTATTATAATGGGAATAAGGACAATTTTAAGAAAAAAGGGTCACAAGTACAGAACTCAACACTGCTCTTTTAAATATATGGTTCTCAATCTTTTTAAATGCAAGGCACCACCTCAGAAAATGCCAGCTTTTAGCTTTCACTCTTTTTGACTATAGAAAAAAAAAGAAAGAGGCATTTTTCTGTTGCAAAGAACTCATAACAGGTCAGAATATTTTTAATACTATGGATTCCTATTTGAAATCTTGGGGTTTATCTTGTGAATCATGTTTGCATGCCAAAGAGTTCTGGCATTGCATGGCACCCTTGAAAGGATCTCAAGGCATGCTGATTGAGAATCACTTTTTTTGTTATTTTGTTTTGTTTTTTTAATAGGAAAATTTGTGTCCCAAGTCAAATCGGCCAAATCAATTGCAAAACCGTGAGTCATTCAAGAACCGTATGTGGCCCTGCTACCACCTCCACCCCCACCTGGGGCTTCAGATGCTTCCAAATCCTTTGGTGGGCATCTGACATGCAGGCCGAAGGCCAGAGGTTTGGGATTCAGATGCCCCTGAGTTTTGCTTGCCCGTAGCCATATGGCGGCAGGAGCAAGCTAGGGAGGAGTCCCCAGTTGCCATAAAGTCAGCGTATAGCCAAGATCTTCTCACTGGAAGTGAAAGTGGAAGGTTAACTATGCATAGTGTTCTGCATTTTCAGATTTTTTTAAAGTGTGTGTGTGTGTGTGTGTGTGTGTGTGTGTGTGTGTGTGTGTGTGTGTAAAAAAAAAATTTAAACCAATTTATTTTATTTTCTTCCTTTTATCCAGATTTCAGTCCAGTTTTTATGTTTGGAAGAAAAACCCTGAAAAACGCCCAGAAATATATATAGATATCTATATAGATATCTCTGTATCTATAGAGATATCGAGAGAGAGAGAGAGAGAGAGAGAATGAGATCTATATATAGATATATTTGCAGGATATATATATATTTCTGGGCGTTTTTCAGGGTTTATCTTCCAAACATAAAAACTGGACTGAAATCTGGATAAAAGGAAGAAAAGAAAAGAAAAAAAATTGGTTTAAATCAGGGAAAATAATATGCTCCCATAGTGGTGAGGGAGGGAGGGACTGGAATAAGGCTGGGACTAGTAAAGGGGTGGGGGGAGGGGCGCAGTGCAGCCCATCACCACTCCCAGGGCTGCAGCAGAGAGCAAAGCAGAGGGTGCATGGCATAGGGTGGGGTGGGGGGCATGTCTCTTGCTGCTATGCACCCCCCCAGCACAGCTGTGGGCTGGGGAGCTGTGCCAGGCTCCTCCTGGGGGGGCGTACGTGCCCCAGATCTGCATGCGGGACAAAAGCAGCCAGGTGCCCCAGCCAACAACAGCAGCCTACTCTCGTCCTGTGTGCAGATCCAGGGGCATGCGCCCCCCGGGAAGAGCCCAGCACAGCCCCCCCGCCCGTAGCCCACTTGGGGGGCAGCAAGAGCCATGCCCCACCCACCCCACTGATAGCTCCCCCCACTTTGCTCCCTGCTGCAGCCCCGGGAGCAGCCGATGGGCTGCGCCATGTTCCTCCCCACTGCTGCTGGGTTCCCCTGGCGCTTGGGGGAAGGGAGAAGTGGCACGCGGCCGGAGGTGGGGGTTGGAGGAACAACTACAATGTAGCTAAAGAAATTGTCTTCCGAGACCTACAGAAAAAATTACTAGTCTCTGGTGGAAAGAACACACATCATTAATAACATTAAAGAGAATGTATGGAAATACAGGTAGTTAACAATTTGGTTCTTTAGCCAGTAGGCAAGACAATGAAGTTTTCATGGAAATACTCTCTTAGGTTAATTCTAGGACAGTGCTGGCATTGGTCATTACATCAAGCCTATGTATCAGAAAATCCTGTATTGCAGAGACTCAAAACAGCAAATTCAGTACCATAGCCAGTTGTTTCCTGGTTATTGATGGCTGAACCTTTTCAATATTTTATCATTAAGTGGATAGGGTCAGAGCAGGCACGCTAGGTCTTACCTAGCCAAATGCCTGTCAAGAACGGCCAGGGTGCGGGGGCCTGGGATGAACTGCCGCCACCTAATGCTCCATGATGCTGCTGTTCTGCCTCTTGCAGGGAGTGGGGTGGGGAAGCCAACGCCAGTGCTGTTGGCCTCAGCTCCCCGACACCCCGTCCGGTCCTTGGTGCAGCTTGCAGGGAGTGGGGCGGGGGAGCCGAGGCCAGAGCTGCTGGCCTTGGCTCCCCGACCCTCTGTCCGGTCCTCAGCGCAGCTTCGGAATAATGGAGGCGCTCCCTCATGCTTGGAGAACTCTGATTGGCTGTTTCTGTCAGCCAATCAGAGTGTGAATAAAGCATTACGGACAGACAGGCAGGCTTAGGCTTTTATAATATTAGATGATCTCTATTCCATTATCAGCTAGGAACTACCCAGCTATTTAACAGAGAATACTGAGGCAATGAACAACTATGGACCACCCAAACATAAAGCTTTCAGACTGCTCCTACTTACCTGCTAGTTTCTCTGCCAAACAGCCCAGCACTGCAGTTGTGTTACGATGTTTGGCTGGATGACAAGCATCTTGGCATGCAGCAGCTCCACTCAAATTTAGTATTTCAGTTAACTTCTGCAGTGCATCCTAAAACAAGACAGAATACAATTTAACTCTACTGAAATTAAAGGATCTTTTTTCCGCTCAGCTAATTCAGTACAGCCCAATGTGTGTCTTAACTCCAATATCAACACTAAGAATGGCATCATATTACAGGTGAAAAGCAGTGTTTTACCTGTTTCAAAGCCTGGGAGAACAGATCAGCTTACCTAGAAAAACTAAATTTCATAGTTTCATAGTAGCTAGGGTCAGGAGGGACCTGAACAGATCATCTAGCCTGACCCCCTGCCACAGGCAGGGATGAATGCTG